TATACACCTAAATTTATTAGCATATGGTATGTAGACATTAACCTACACAAAATAATTTTCATTATAATTAATGTCAAAAAAAAATTTAAAGCTTACTGTAATGTAAGGTTCTAAAAATGGAAACAACTATTATCCATAATCATATGATATATAAAATACTCAAATTGCTATTTTAATCTTGACATTATGATCACTACTTATCTGAATGGTAAAATAACGTGACATACTGTTTCATGAGAGCTGGACTTGAATGACACATGATAGGGAAGGGGAGTGACTGTATAATGAACTCATCAGTCAAAGGCATGGACAGAGATGAAGTGCTGTGCTCTCTCATTACCCTGTCATTGAATTCGTTGAGTTGGCCCATTGATCCGTAAACTGTCTCGGCACTGCGTAGGCCATTGATACGACGCAATGACTCGGTAAGCTCCTCATCAAATGTTTGATCGAAAGTCTTTCAGCACAGCAGGGGGATCGAAGAGAGAAGGAAACACAAAGCATGCAAACTAATAAAATATAAAGGCTCTCCACATGCACGATATCATGCAACGTAAAAAAAAAATAAAAAATTAAACAATAAGTGGCATTCATAAATAATAGTACAGGCATGTAAAAGAAATGAAATTGTATAAAAACAAATGTGTATTATTCTGAAATCAAGTGTTTTCATCTTTGCAGCAACTAATATTGTGGCTGTGACTGAACTGCTTGCCCATGCATTTTACAATGTCCTTTGAACATAATGCACTTTGCATCTTTTTTTTCTCTGAAAATTGTCAGAATATTCAACTGGCTAAGCTTCATATCATGATGCCAATAATATTCCAGCTCCATAGTGCGAGGGGAAATAACATCTCTGGTGACATGCAATATTAAGTATATAAACAGACCTAAATAGCAGTCTGGCCTTTGTACTGGTTATCAGGCTTCTGCCTTGAAATAGTGTTTGAAATATGTTTGGTTAGTTGCTGGGTATGCCATAAGGACGCACTGACTACTTTTGTCCTCTAGGAGGCAGTGTTGTATAACTGTAGGACTAACAATGTGGTGGTTTGTGTGATTCCAGTGTAAACAAATGTGACTCTAATTGATAGATGTAAATGACTACATTTTTATTGTTTATTGTACAAGGGTGTTAATTTTCTAACCTTATGTGGTTTTCAAACTTAACATCATAGCTCCTTGCATCACGTCAACTCAAAAATGCCTGCCATAACATGCACATTCAATCTGTTAAACAGTGTTTGGCTGTGTGTTTAGATTTTATCTGAGCAGAGTCGAAAAGGTGCAGAAACTCTGTCAGTCTCCCAATCATCTGCTTCACTTACTGTCAACTCCAATTGCAGTGACAGTTTCCCCTCATTCAGGGTAAGCTTCTTCACTTAGGATTTTCAAATTCACTTTTTGTTTTAGTGCTGTGTGAATGTTATTGCGTTCTCTTTTCAGAAGTGATACTGACCAATTAAATGTGTGACTGTTTTCTCTTTTAAAAGTGCTAGAATATTTAATTGCCCTTATTATTATTTATATTATTTTATTTATTTACCTTTTATCTCTGGATTTTTTAAAATGTTTTATTACTGACATGATTCAAAAATGGTGATTCATTCAGGAATGAAACAAGCGACTGTCTATATGAGTGGATCATTGAATAATTAATTGAATCGATTCATTCAAAACAGAGAATCAAAGTTCTACTCCGGTGAAGAATTATTTTCTTTCACAGAGCAAGAAA